AGAGTTTGGGATGGCAGTGTTTGGGATGGCAGAGTTTGGGATGGCAGAGTTTGGGATGGCAGAGCTCAGCACGGCCCCACGACTGTTATGTAACTGTGCAGTTCAGCAGCCGAAGCCTCCCGCGTTTCTTCAATGACTGAGTATTCCTGGTTGTGCCATTTACAGCTTTCCATGTGGTGCCCATGAAGATGAGGCTGAGGACACGGAAAGCTTCTCAGCAATCCAACCAGCTCCACCCGCAGCGGGCGCTCCGGGCCAAGCGGAAACACTCGGAGGTGGAGGAGACCTTACCTGGGGGCGGGGGGAAACCACAGAAAAATGACACCGGCCTCTTGTCTTCAATCAAAAAGTTCATTAAAGGAAGCACACCCAAGGTAAGCCAGCTCTGGGGCCCTGCTTGGCTTTTGGTTGGGTCATAGTTCAGTGTGTTCTAAACCCATTTCTGCCGAGAATAAATAATGTGGAAGCAAAGCGTAAGGAGTCGGAAGGCAACAAGTGCCTGTGAGAGTTGTGTCAGGAAAAGCAGACTTGGAAATCCTTCAGGAGTCAGTCATAGGTGTATTTAACAGTCTAATAAATCACAGGATTTATTACCTGGTATTTCTTTGTGAAAGTGTTGGCTGATGAATCCAGGAGATTTTTAATTGCTGTTTTAAAGAGGCCTTGAATCCAAATTCGAGGAATCACCAGTATTGGCAACTAAGGCAAGCCAGTCTGTAAGCATACATTTACTGAGTGTTTTTAGCATTTTTATTCAAAACTGGTTAGGAGTCAGTCAGTCAATGAAGGTCAAACCTCACCAATCCACGTGTCAGGGAATTGCTGCAGCTGTGAGATTCCTGCAGTGGGCACTGCCCTGCTTAGGGCATCAAATCCAGGTATTGCCAGGGAAAACCACGAAATCTCATCTTGGTCCAGACAGAAATCTGAACCTTACTGATCTTCACATGTGAACCCCTGTCACATGTACATTTGAGGGTGAATTATATACATATATATATATATATATAAACTTTGATAGGCTGAATGTAACCTTGCTTCAAAAACCTGTGGTTTTTTCTCTAAATGAAGGCCAGTCTAAAAAATCCATCTTCATTCAGTCCCAGCAGTTCAGATACTGACATTATGTAACTGTGAATTTTAAAGAGGAGTAGCTGAGAAGTGGTAACTAATTTACAGTGTATCCTAGATCAGCTACATGATAAATAAAAATCTGATATAAATTCAGAAGTATTTTCTGGGGTTTGAACTAAAGTGTTAAAACAATAACTTTGTAACAAGGTGAAGTTCAGATAGTTTTAAAGTAACAATATATCCTTGAATTGTGAAAAATATAGTGAAATAGAATATTTCATGACATGTTAAACCACGTCAACCTGTCCTGGAAACAGAGAGTTACCAAACAAGAAACATTTCAGCAATGGTTAAATCTGCTTCCAGTTTGCTTTTCATTAAACTGTGACAGTTGGTCTGTTTTACAGATCTGGTCTATTCCATGGAAAAAAGGAGGCACTGTTCAGTATGTTTCTCTTTTGCCTCCTTTCTCCTTTAAGGAAGAAAGAGAAAACCCCACCAAAAGGAGTCGAATTGAGCGGGACATCGACAACAACCTGATCACATCCACCCCTCAGACGGGGGACAAGCCCAACAAACAGCTGTCCCGGGTGAGGAGGAAAAGTCAGCTCAATGGAGGTGGGTACAGCCCAGCTGGGCAGCCAGGGCAGGGAATCCAGGGAATCCCAGCTCCACCTGAGCGGGACATTCCTGCAGCAGGGAGGTTACAGGGTTTGACTGACTTCAGTGAGGGCAAGGCTGAGCTAATCACAGCAAAACAAGAGTTCCAGGGCTGCAAGCAACACCTACATCACTCCTCAGACACGGTCCTTGTATCTCTGTAAGAACTATTTGGATCATCAGCAGCTATTTTGGAAATAATTTAACTTTCTTTTTTTAATTGTCATTCTAAAAAACCAATAATAGTTATTTGATTTAGCTCTTTTTCTCACAAATAAAAGTGAATTATGACTCCCAGCTCATGACCTCTGTGGAAGTAACCAGGTGTCCTTAATACTGAAAACACTTGTCAAACACACAAGACAGGTTTCTGTCATAGAATTGTAGGAAACTTTGGATCAGAAGGGAACTCTTAAAGGTCATCTGGACCAGTTCCCCTGTTCCCCTCCCAGCAGTGATGATCCAGCTCGGAGTGAGATCTGCCTCTGGAGTTAGATCAGGCCACTCAGAGCCTTGTCCAGGCAAGTTTTCTCTCTCTCTAAGGATGGAGATTCCCTGTTCCCTCTGAAAACTGTCTGTTCTTGAATATCTCTAATAATGACATGATACAATTGTCAGTGATATTTAGAACATCGTCTGTGGTTCCAACTTTAAAATCCCAATCTTTAAGCTTCCTTTCTAAGGAAACTGTGAGGGTGGTGAGGCCCTGGCACAGGTTGCCCAGAGAAGCTGTGGCTGCCTCTGGATCCCTGGGAGTGTCCAAGGCCAGGTTGGACGAGGCTTGGAGCAACCTGGGCTGGTTGAAGGTGTCCCTGCCCCCATAAAGTCCCTCCCAACCCAGACCATCCTGTGACTCTCTGCTGTTCCAGGGCATGTGGAGCACCCTCAGCCTGTTACAGGGATACAAGTTCTTAATTCAAGTATTCCCCATTGGTGGGGGCTTGGAGCTGCAGCTGGGACACCCCACATTCCATATGGGAACGGAGCAGTGTGAAGTCCCTGTGCAGCTCCATCAGGCTCAGCTGACAGGGACATTCTCAGCTCATGTGCATGAAGTCCATTCCCTCACTTCCATAAGGACAGACATCTCAGAGCCTGGGGGCTGGGAAGAAAAGAATTCTTCTTCACCTCAGTCTCAGAACTGCCATGAGATGGGAATTGGAGTTCTGGGATCTACATAACTGTACCTGCACAGTTTGGGAAAACCTTCATTGTCACGTGTGATATTGTAACGTGAAGATTTATTTAATTCTGCCCTTTGTTATCTGTGATAACAACTAAAACTTATTTCCCTTTGGAATTGTATTTATGCATATATGTGTGTGTGTATGTGGAGAGGAACAAATTCTGGACTCGACGTGGTGCAGTTTGGAGGCTCAGCCTTGGCAGTTCACTGACACTTTCTCTTGGTTCCATCTAGTGGAGTCCCCCTGACACTGACACCAGTGTGCTCTGCCGGGGGCACAGCAGCTCCAAGTCTGTCTCCCACCAAGTCCATTGAAAGGATTTAAACTTCTATTATTTGTGTAAACAAGGAGCATTTCCTAATCTGGAGTGTTAAACTTATGATGGTGTTGAAAATTGACTTTTTGTTTTGATGCTGATAGTAAATTACTGGCTCTTGTGGGCAGAGCTGAACCATGAACAGGAGGGATCAGTCCTGGAGAGCAAATGCTGACAGCAGAGGACAGGGTGTGACTGAAAACAGCAACGTGGTGTTACAGGTCATAACTTTTCTCTTGCAGAAGCTGGAAGTTATGAGATGACAAACCAACACGTAAAGCAAAATGGAAAATTGGAAGATAACCCCACCACTGGCAGCCCCCCACGGACAACGTTACTGGGAACCATATTTTCTCCTGTTTTCAATTTTTTTTCACCAGCAAATAAAAATGGTGAGTCTTAGGTAAAAAGCCAGTGGTGTTAAAGCCGAGGGTGAGATTTTTTTTTATGAAGTTGCTGTTCTGAGCAACAGTACACTTTGCATTCTGATTTACAGACCAAGAGTTACTGCTGCCAGATAAAGGGCTCTGCGATTCTTAGATGGGTTGATCGTTAATGAAGGGAGGAATAAGTTTATAACCATTAGAATATCTCTGTGCACCTTTCAGTAAAAAAAAAAAAAATAAGAAAGAAAAAGACAGGATTAAGTTTCTTGTCCCAAATGTATCTTAAAGCCACTTGTCAGGGCCATCATTTTGGTTCTGGTTTTTGTAACGTGACCCAGCGCAGGTCCCTTCAGTTGTTGTGCAGCTTTGCTGTGTGTGGTTAAGAGGGGCTGTGAGTGTCGGGGGGGAGCTCAGAGGTAACGAGTGTCCCCAAATCCCCCCAGGAACGTCGGGGTCGGACTCTCCGGGCCAGGCTGTGGAAGCTGAGGAGATCGTGAAGCAGCTGGACATGGAGCAGGTGGACGAGATCACCACGAGCACGGCGACGTCCACCAACGGCGCGGCCTTCCCGGGCCAGGCCGTGCCCCTGCGGGGCCCCCCCGGGCTGGGGGACACCGAGGAGCCCGGGGACCGGGACCTGCCCCCGCTCACGGGTACGGCACGGGGACCTGCTGCCTGCTCAGCCCTGCCTGCCCTGCTGCCTGCACAGCCCTGCCTGCACAGCCCTGCCTGCCCCATCCTGCTGCCTGCACAACCCTGCCTGCACAGCCCTGCCTGCCCCATCCTGCTGCCTGCACAGCCCTGCCTGCCCTGCTGCCTGCACAGCCCTGCTGGGAACTGCTACCTGCCCCATCCTGCTGCCTGCCCCAGCCCTGCTGCCTGCCCCATCCTGCTGCCTGCCCTGCCCTGCTGCCTGCCCCTGCCCTGCTGCCTGCCCCAGCCCTGCTGCCTGCCCCATCCTGCTGCCTGCCCTGCCCTGCTGCCTGCCCCTACCCTGCTGCCTGCTCCAGCCCTGCTGGGAGCTGCTGCCTCGCCTCAGCCTGGGCCACACAGACACTGCTCGTGCTGTTTTTTATGGTTAATGCACTAATCTGGCTCGTGCACCAAAGGCACAGTTTGGGCAAGACTTGTCTGTTCCTGGTGCAGCTCGGGTGATCTCATAGCACTTCCTCACATGGAAACAAAAGTTCCAGAGGAAAAGTGTTTCTATGAGCACTGAGTACCCTCCCACACTGAACGTGCACACTCTGGGCTTGCTGATCTCCAAAGAGAAATGGGCTACATTTTGGTATCTTATATTGGAACCACGTGGTGAATGAGAACCACACAGACCTTACACACAAATCCTGAAAAACTGTCCATATTTCCTTCAAAAGACTCATCATGCATCTTTTTTTTTGACAAAAGTTGTAGCCTCAAAATGCAGTTTCTCTGTGGATGGGCAGCATCAAATCCTGAACAGTTCCCTAAACCCTGCCCTCAAAGCTTTGGGGATGGGTAGTTTTTGAAGGCTCCTGCCAAGGAGGTAAATGTGACCTCTGAGCAGCCCCTGGGGTGGGAGGTGGGGCTGGGGGCAGAGTGTCTCACTGTTGCTTCTTCCCTCGTGTCTCAAGTGCACACTGTGGCTGTGAAGAACTGCACTAATAAGACCAGCTCTTGTGGTTTTTTGTTTTATTTTTTGTTTTGGTCATTTTCGTTGAATTTTAGCACCAGTATCTCCAGACAGTGGCTACTCATCAGCTCATGCAGAAGCCACCTATGAAGAGGACTGGGAAGTCTTTGATCCGTAAGTGACAGTGTTTGTACTGAAAACAGTCAATGGATCATTCTGGGTATTGGATTATGATATTTTAATTTATATTTATTATTATATTACTTGCATCATTTTAATATTATGATAATGAACTCCAAAAGCCCTTAACTTAAAAAAATAATTGTATATTGTTGTAGGGTTTATTTCAATTTAAAAATACTTATTTCCTGTGCATCCCTAAATATTTCAAATATTTAGCTGACCTAAAACATTACAGTTTTACAGCAAAATCTGTGTTCTTTTCAGATATTATTTCATCAAACATGTGCCCCCACTAACAGAAGAACAGCTGAACAGGAAGCCAGCTCTCCCACTCAAAACCAGAAGCACACCAGAGTTTTCATTAGTTCTAGACTTGGTAAATATCTTTATAAACACAAACCAAAGCAGGGGGATGGGGCATTTCCCTTATTTTGCTTGTGGAAATCAGTCGTGTTTGCTTTAAACAAAAAGGCTGTTGAATGTCACATAAATTTTAGTATTTTTAGTCAAAAATACTAGTTAAAGTAGTTTAAAAAGAATTAATAGTGGCAGGAATAGAATGCTTGTTGTATTTGTCAAATACTTCCATCCTTTTTAAAAAAAAATTACAGTTTTTATCATTTCACAATCTTTTCTTTCTTTTATGTATTTTTTTAATAGGATGAAACATTAGTGCACTGTAGTCTAAATGAATTAGAAGATGCTGCACTCACTTTTCCAGTTCTTTTCCAAGATGTCATTTACCAGGTAAAAAGAAAAACACAAACCCTTTTACTTTGTTTAAGGTGGGAATCCTTGGGGTTTGTGTTTGTTCTCATCTTGTGTAAGGAGAGAGAAGCCTGGTGATAAAGTTACACCTGTCTGGTGATGAACTGCAGGTGTCACATTTGGCAAGAAACTTTGTATTCACTTCAACTGTTCCCCTTTTCTTGCCCTCTGGTCACTTGGTTGTGTCCACATAGAAATGTGATATAATTCAGTTCATGCAGCACAGCTCCTTGTGGACATTCACTGTGATGGGAAGGGAAATTTAAGCCTATTCCTAAGTGACTGCTAAAAAAATTGATAAAGCTGAAATCACCCTGAAATGGGGCAGTTCAGCCTCCTCCCTTCTCTCCCTGGGTATTTCAGTACCTTTCCTCAAAGCTGTAGTTCTGTGTGGGCAATCTCTGAACAGAAATAACTGTGAGCAGAGCCTGGGGCTGCTGTTTTTACCCCTTTGTGTTGTCACTGTGGGCTCAGGTCACAACCAGGTCTGTCCAACACACACCAAATACCACCTGAGGGTTGGCCCCAGGGACAGAACAGAGCCTGGGTCGTGCCCTCACTCCCACCAGTGCTCCAGGGCCCTGGGGCTGCAGATTTACTGAGGTGCCTCCCTGGGAGCCCAAATCCTGTATTTGGAGTTCAATCAGAGGCAGAAATCTCCTGACTCGGTGTCTCTTTTGTGAGTCCACAATTTCTTACAGGGAATGATTTCTCTGTGTGTGCAGTTCTGTGCTGGTG